AAAAAGGAGGGCACAGCTGAAGCTACTCCTGTCAGTTATCTCTGTAACCTCAAGACACAGGGTGTAGTAGCTCCGAGGGAAACGTGATCCTGTTTGAGTGTGTGCACAGTCCTGCCAGGAAGAGGAGCAGCAGAACACGGGGCTGGGAACAGCAGCACTGAGGCTATTGGTCTCCCATGAGCATACTGGGGGTGAAGGGTGAAGAGGAAGTGGATTCCAGGAAAAGTGGGGGTGGCAAGAAATCCAGGAATTAGTATCATTTTTGAGGAGCCAAGAGGCAAAAAGTAGGTCTGATAGAACTTTCTGGTGCTGCGACTTTGGTGTTGGGAACGTCAGAACCTTGTAAGACTTACTTCGATCTCGTTGACATTAGTTTTACAACATTGTTTTGTAACAAAGAATAAAGTTCTGAGATGTGTGGAGAGCATTTGAAGCCTTGGGAGGTTGATTTAGGTTTTTATTGTGGTGTGAAAACAAAGCAGCTTTACAGTATTTAAAACTTATATGTTTTTCCCCTGGAACTTTGAAAATGAAACCAACAGAAACCAGATAGTTGTAAAACTGCTTGGTTTGGTTTTTATTATTTTGGGGTGTGCAATAAATTGTATAAATTGGATTCTGACCTTGAGTTTGTGTAATGGGATGGATGTTTAATGTTTCTTTCAGAAACTGGTTGTGAACCAGTAGCTGTCAAACTGTCAAGAGGGAATGTACAGATGCAAATAATGTAGAAGCCTCTTTAAATCAGCCTTGTATGTAGTATGAGTAGTAAAGGAAAAGTATGGCAATTACTGAAGTTAAGTGTTTCAGATCTGTCTTTTGACTGCCTGCAATTCTAAGAGGTGCTTTAGTTCTAATTCTCACTTCTGTTCTTTGATCACTTCATAGAATTTCAAGTTCAAGATGAGTTTGTTCTGTTTGAGCATTTTACAAATATCTGCAGGTGAACCAGGGAGAAAAAAGGTGGGGTAAGGGATGGAGAAGGAATTTTGTTCTTACTGAAACTGGTTGGCTTTAGACAAGATGTTGGGTGGGAAGGCATTTTGATAAGTTTCATATGTAATAGATAAGGTGAGCTGTTAATTGTCTAGCAAGACCATGTTTCATACTGGCTTTTATAAACATTGAGTAAACAATTACTAGTGAATTTAATTTTTTTTTCAATAGCTTCAGCTTGATAATGGTTGAGATTTTCTCAGAAAGGACAACTTTATTTCCTGAAATAGTTAATGAACTGTAGCTGTTGGAATGGACCCAATATTAGACAACTAACTGCAGTTAGACTGAGGTTATTTAAATTAAAAAAGAACATTAAATACTTGTTTTAGTATTTGAAAGCGAGCATACTCATCACATTTTTACTTTTATGGCTATTCTTTTAATGGAAATTAATTTAAAAATTAATACAGTCTGTTAGGTGTAATAATGCTGCAGAATTAAAAACAATCTAGACTGTCTTATGCTACTAATACACTTTCTATGCTTGCTGTAATTAGATTAGAATTGTAAATAACTTGTGCCTCTTAATTTTACATCATGCATTTTTCATCAGAGCTAGAGAACAGAAAGTAGAGTGGAGAAATGCACTGAAGATTCATGTAGCCTCAGTGTTGACTAATACAAGACTTGTGATCTTATTAACTCCACTTAAAACTGTTTTGAGTTTGCTAAATAATCTATTTGCTTTTCATAATGTTGAAAAAAGATGACAAAAATACAGGCTTCAACTTTGTTTTGCATATTTAGAAGAAAAAGGAAGTTGGAAAGATAATCTGAAGTATAAACTGTCCTAAGAGAAGTTTACAGCCATCTCACTGTGTATGTTATTTTGTAAGAAGCATTCTAATGTCTTCTGGCTACAAACATGAAAACGGACAAATTGAGGTGGAACTGAAAAATAATATTCCATTAATAATCCTAAGTGCTATAGGACAATGCAGTAGTCTTCTTAAATCAAATGAATAATTTTTTTCCTTTTTGTGACTGAAAGTTTGGCACCTAACTTGACAATTCAGTGTATTCATGAGTTGCAGTATCTCACATTGTTTTTGTAAAAACTGACTTAAAACATGCAAGTGGTTTTATGCCTGCAAGCTTGAGCTGTCCTACCACTTGTTTTATAGCAACAGATGATGTTTTTTTGGAAGTTTGTCTTGCCCTTGTTGAAAGCTTGGCAGAGAAAATCTGAACATTGTAGATAATTGCTTGGTTGGTGTTGTACCCCAGGACATCTGTATCTATCAGAATGCCATAAACTCATGTATGAGCGTCCCACCAGAGAGGCAATTAATTTTCCCCGAGCTTATGTGCTGCTGAGATGCCCTAAATTGCCACAGGCCTTTCAATTCTGTGTTATCAGATGCCTCTCTTTTATATCAGCTCTAAACTCATTGTAGACATTTATCCTTTGGATTATTCCACTTGTAAACCCCTTACTCTGCCATTGGTTGCTATTCTACTTGTATACGAAATCTTGGCACTGTAAAGTTTTTATGAGAGAAACACACAGTAAGCAGTGATGTGTTTTCTTGGCTAGTTATGAGAGCCAAAACCAGACAACTACTTGATATATGCAGTTATGGAAGATGTATCAAAATCAAGGGTATAGTATTTATTAGAGTGTATTTCTTACATTCTCTGTGGTTTAATTTTAAGGAAGCCTGTAATGAGAAATATTTAAATGTAATGAACTGATCACACTATCTAGAAATTCTTTGTAGAAAAGACTGGGTATTTTGCATAGTAAGTTTATAGGTTATGGCTCCTAAGTGCTGGTACAATGCAAGATTATAAAATTATGGTGCTGCTATATGTGTGTTGCTTGGGAAGCAGTGAATGACTGAGCATGATAAAATACACATCTCAGAATTTGCCCTGCTTTGCTTCAAGTCAAAGGTTGGACTTGATGATTTTGGATGTCTTTTCCAGCCTTAATGGTGCTATGATCTGAAATCTAGACATCTGTTCCAGTAAGCATTTGGGTGCATTACCAATCATAACTTGTAATCTCGAGATGTAAAAAACCCACACACCCCTAAAAACAACCCACAGACCAAAAGAGTCTCAAAACCTTGTTCTTTTTCATAAAGTGCTTAATAGTGCTGGTATAGCTCCCATTAAGCATATCCACTGTATCTATAGTGTTGCTTTAATTAGGGATAATTTTATGGGTGACATCATATTAGCAAATGTAAATCTTTGTCTGAACTTTCCTTTTAAGCATTTCTACAAGTTGTATGCACTGGACTTAGTTTTCTGTGCTTCAGGAATATTTTTCACCATTCTTGTAGGGGCTCAAATTCTCTACCACAGTGAGGCACCAGAATTCAGTTATCTTCCAGCATCTAATAGGTTTATCATCTATGCTGAAGTAATGAAAGTAATCCCTCCACTGACCTTCTTTGTACAATATTTTGCAGCTTTTTTTGCTTTCTTTCTATGATTTGAGAAAGGGCTGCACAAACAGGTGGGAATGGAAGTGGCAAAGCTGTGTCAAATGCACAGAGCTAATGAGAGGAATAGGGCAGTATTTCTGAGCCTAAGTAGTGCAGCTCCTGGAATGAACCAAGTTTTTGAATTATAGCTGTATCTCATACGATTTCATTATTAATCTATGGGGTTTTGCCAATGATATATTAATCATTAAAGAGAGAAGTGTTTTGAAAGCTTTATTTATAGTTGAACGTGTATGAAGCATTTGCTTTTGTATATAATTTATATGTTTTATCTAAGCCTTTTATACATTTTATTTCTTTTTATAAATTACAAATTGCATATGTTGGGGAAAGGAAGTACATGTTTGTGAGATTAGTTTGTAACACATTTACAGATGATTAATTATGATAATATGCCCAAAAATTGCTGGGCTTTTAAGAACAGGGAAAATGTGCCAGAGTATCTGTTTTACTGTTTTAAAGGCTTTACAAGGTTGTAATTACCATCTCTGAGATAAATTGTTTCATCTTTTTTGAATCTTTTTTGCTATCACTATTGCTTTTCTTAAGTCTCTCTCAACCTCTGTCACTTGTCAAATAATCAGGCTGTCCAATTCTTTGTGTGTGTTTCCTCTTTCAAATTAAGAACTTGCTGTTTTAATGATTGTTATAATATACGAATATAATTTTTCCTGAGATAATTGTGCACTCATTAAATGACTGCTATAATTGTCTTTAAAATGTGCCAAAAGAGAAGCATTTTTGCAAAAAGAAGTTAACAGATGGCAGGCATAGGAAGGAAGTTTCTGGCTGGGTCAAATTACAGGAGTTATCCTACAGATAGCAAGGTGAGACTAGTTGACAAAAATAAGTTCAATTTACATTAATTTTTTAATGATATTGCAGGATAAATGTGGTTGAATAATCTAAATAACTATTTGCAAACAGATGTCTTGTTAACACTGAAAAACTGTAAAGCAATTCAATAATGTCAGAGTACTGATATAATTGTGCAAGCTTAGTGTCTAGAAGAAATGGTACTTAATTACAGAGAAAAGAGAAAACAAAATCCATGTTAAATTATCTTTTAAAGACAGCAACCCATCCTATAGGCTGTTAAAGCTACAGTTCAATATATGCCTAAACTATAATTAGTTAAGGGAAAAAACGTTTAAGAAAAAAAGCTCCTATTCTTCCACTTTGTGTTAATGCAACCATTTGTGCTATGAACTGAACTGGGAAACTCCTTCATGTGCAGAGAAACTTTGCAATTTTTTTGTCAAGGAACTTCAGGAATAGAAGTTCCTGGTTGAGTTATCTCAGTTGCCCAGAATCATATTGCATAGAAGCAGTGGAGGGGAGCCATCAATGCCTACAGGTGTCTGACAGTGTCAAGAGCAGGGGGCCGGACGTTTCAGTGATGCCCAGGGACAGGACAAGGGACAATGGGCACAAACTGAAATGAGGGAACTGCCATCTGAATATGAGGAAAAACCTCTTTACTGTGAGGGTGGCAGAGCTCTGGAACAGGCTGCCCAGAGAGGATGTGGAGTCCCCTTTTATTCAAGAACCATCTGGGCATGATCCTGTGCAACCTGTTCTAGGTGACCCTGCCTTAGCAGGGGGGTTGAACTACACCATCTCCAGATGTCCCTTCCAACCTCAGCCATCCTGGGATTATGTGAGAAAGGAGTAGGAGGCATCATTTTCTGCAGTAGAGGCAAAATAATTGTGCATGGAACTGTAACCTCAAATGAGAAGAGAGTGCAAGTGGGCTCGATGCAGGACTATCCCTTGGCTCCAGTAACCACTAACCTGTTTTCACTGACACTATTATCCAAACTCTAAACTTTTGAGTGGCTTCAAACATACCTTTGCCTCTAAAACTTCCAAAACAGCACTCTATCTTGAGACATTTTTTAGAAAATCATACACTTCATGACATGTTAGTGAAGTGTTATTACTGAAAGAGAAGCAGAACTTGTAAAGGTGTTAACCAGTAGTATGGCTTCAAAGCCAGAGAATCTGAATTACCTTTGGAATTCATGTAGCTTTTGTCCAGATGTCAGTGTGCTTTGTGCACTCAGGTTTTATAGTTTCTTTTAGCTATTATGTTAATTTTAAATATATAGATCAAAATAATTTCCAGCACTTTTCCTACCTAACAGCCTCCTGCATCTGGAGAGATGTTGTTTTCTCTGTTCATTATCAGCTTAAAAAAAATTTGCTCAAGTTGCTGGTTACATAGATTTTGAAGAGAGTGTCTATTGTCAGGTGTTGAGTGGATTGGATTTGGGAACTCTAAAGGCTAATAAATATAAATTAGTGGGTTTCTAGGATGATGAGACTGAGAATTCTAATGCTGATTTGAGTAAGTTTGATAAATGAAACTAGCAATGTTAGGCGAGAAAAGATGACAAGTCTTACGTTTTTGAAAGCTGTGTAATTTTTCTTTCATAAATGTGGCAGGTTTTCTTTTGTGTGGATTATTTGGCTTGTGTTTGTACTTGGGTTTTTTCTTCCCTTGATATCTTACTGTGAAGGCAAGCATTTTAATTTCTATCTCATGAAATTGTTCCCATCTTTTACATATTGTCTTTTCAGGAGTCAGTCTGTATTTGAGAATAATTTTCAATGTTTGTATTGTATCATATATGTGCACATAAGCTATTTGGCAGCATAGTAAATTGCAAACCAGAATTAGTTTCATAGATTGATAGGAAGTCCTCTTTTAAAAGATATTCATGACTTCACAATTAAGTTGTAGTTTATATATTGAAAGGAAAAGAAAAGTTAGCCTTAGTGTTAAAGAAAACATTGCAGATATTTTGGTTCTGTGCATTTTGTGTATTTTCTTATAGTTTGAAACATTATTTTAAGAACGTGTCAGTCACAACTGTCTTTCTGAAACAGTCTTAAGTAATCTTAAAGGCCATTGTTTCACTGTACCTTTTGTTTTTCACTGTACCAATTGTTTTTACTGAGCACCACACATACAGAGAGTTCTTTAGTAATATTTTAAGCAAACTTACAAGAAAAACATAGCTATTGTGATTTTTGTGACTTGCAACATGCTATGGCTTACAGTACCTGTTTGTATCTTCAGAAGAATAAGAAGATGCATGTGGATTGTTTTTTATCTTTGTTAAGTCTTTGTAGCAGTTGTCCATGAGGCCCATGTATGGCTCAGCTTGATGTGTAAACTCTGTTGTAGCAGGAACTTTGGTCCTTGCAACTCCTAAAAGCAGCAGACAGCTTTAACAGAACCCAAGCTGTCACGGGGAAGGCAGGTAAATTATTTAAGGAACATCTGAGTGACAAAACCAGACATGTGTCTTAATGTCTTTGAGTTCAGTAAGAACAATTTTTAAAAAAGATTAAGCAAATTTATTTTGATGTGTCTGCATTGTAGCTCCTATTTATATCATCCTTGGGAGGATTCTTTGACGTGCAATCACGTCATGTTATGAAATCTGAGCAGCTCCTGCCACTGCACGACAGATGTGTTTTGTGGTGCCAGCCCAGGGTGCTTTTTGGCTAAATATGATTTCAGAAATGGTGACCCAGCCTTGCCTGGGGACAGAGGAACGAAGGGGCTCGTGCTTGTGACTGTGCTTGGGGATGTCCTTGGCAGCACACTGTGATCTCTGACCAGGCTGTCATTCTGCTCTGTGTCGATGACACTTTCTGTTGACTTCAGCTCCACTAAAGATGATAAGAATGTCTCTTGTCTTGACCTTTCCAGTGGGTCTAGTCCTGCCACTTCTGCTGGCTGCCAGGCTGAGTTGAGATAAAAAATTACCACTATGGTTATGTTTCTAGAGACCTGTCTTGCAACTTTTTCTGTTTGATCCCTACCAAAAGTTCATGCTCCCTGCTGGGAGGGGTTTTTAGAGTTTTTTTGGTGTGTTTTTGTTTTGTTTTGGGGTTTTTTTGTTTGTTTTATGGTAATCCCTATGAAGCTCTTGGATGCGATGTTCTTTCTCTAGAAATTTTTTAGGAGACTTTTGGGGAAAAAACGGTTTGGGTTTTTTGCTTTTTTGGGTTTCATTTGCCTGAAATCAAATTCTGCTGTTCCCCAGTAGTATTCTCTGACTCGGGGCCTCTATTTTCAAGCCATCACCCCTTTCTGATAAATTCCTTTTCTTTAGGCATCTTGTTTTACTCCTTAATTAGGGGGGGAGGATTTTGTTCATGAATATTTAACTGAGATAACTAGATTCAACAGGAGTGGCTTCATTAGGTTAGCATATATGCTAAAGGAGTCTTTTGTGCTGAAGGTTCCAGCATTTAAAGCTGTTAAAGTAGTTCATTGAAGCTGAAACAAAAAAATACGTAAGTTGGTTTGAACTGAAGTGGAAGAAGTATGCCCCCCCTCCTTGATTTAAATGGAAATATGCTGTGCAGGCAGTACTGATATTAGTGGCTCCCCAGCTGTTCATGTTAAAAATAATTGCTTTTCCCAATTCCTGTCAGTATATATATTTTAATGTATGTGCTGGGGGTTTTTATCTAATTGAAATTACGTTGAAAACATTTTGGTTACCCTGTTATCTTAACATTTTGGATACTCTGTTAGGTATCCAGTAATACTACGAAGTTCAAAGATTGAGTAAACTTTTGAACTTCACTGCTTCTAGTGAATAAAATTATTGTAAAGAGAGATGTTACATACCAGCCTTTCTGAATATGCAGTCTGTTTTGCTTTAAAGATCATTCATGATCAGTATTTCCCTGTTAATGAAATGATACCTATTTTTCACATCTGTCATCTTTCACAATACTTCACTGTTCTGCTATGAACAAGCACTGAAAATACATTTTAGAAAGTAAGCTGCCTATAATATCATAGAATCATTTCCTGGGACTGAACAAGACAATGATGTGTTGCAGCATGTTTTTCCAAGAGCCTTCATACTCAGGATAAGCTGGCTCACTTATTTTCGGAGTCAGTTTTATTTTGCCATTGCACTTGACGTACTACAAAATTTTAGTAGAATCTGGTGTTAAAGCATACTGTGGAAGAGAATCTGTCTCTGTGTTTTGTTTAATCTGTGGTTGTTTCTCTGATCTAGCCCAGATTTCCTTCCTGCAGGTACTTGCAGGAGTGAGGTGTTGAGACAAAAGCTGGGCATGTTCCTGCTGGTTCTGCACAGTTCTTGCCCACTTGCCCTTCTTTGATCCCTTCAGTATGTTCAGTGACTCCTCTAAGTAGCAGAAGAGTACAAAGAATCGAGGGTTTGCACTTTACAGCCCTTCACACCTGTAATGTCTTCTGCTTCTGGGACTGGTAACAAATGGAGAGGCTTTAAGGGGGACAGTGGAAGGAAATAATGACAGTAGTAAACTTCCTAAGGATGGCAGATTTTTGTTTCAGTTATAAAAAGATGTTCCTACAAGGCCACTTCCATGAGAGGTGTAGAAGGAACACAATAACTGAAATTAAGTTTTGACAAGAACCAACTACAATTAAGGTCCTGTTGCTTTTCCTTGCTCAGAGATGTTTGCTCTGCTGGTTTCTTGGGGTGCTCAGGACAGGAATGCTGAAGCTGATCTTGGATTAAGGGGAATAAAAAGTGTGTTGTTCTTTTTGAAGGTAGTTTGGGTGGGGTTTTGTCTCCTGGTCTTCCTTCTCTTGTTGGTAAAAAAAATAAAACCATGAGAAAATGACTCTCTTGGTAGCACACAAAACTCATGGCCATACAGAACGTGGGTGTGCAGGTAGCAACGTGGAAAACTTCAGTTTAATTTTGAGTTTGTTTTCTGTTGTGAAGACTTTTGCAATCGATTCTTTGTTGTTTTACCTTTAAATCAGCATTTTGAAAGATTTTGTCACCTTAAATTAGTGCAGCTTCACCTAATGTTATATTTTTCTGGAGTATAAAAGGTCATTAAAAAAAAGTTGGGGAGAGCTGTTCTCTTGCTGCTTTGCAGCATTCCACTCCCCACAGTAATAGAAGCTATCTGGCTTCACATGTTAAGTAAATTTTTCCTATTGTAAAAATAGGGGGGAGGGTTCAGAAGAAGCAAACTATTACCTGTATCTTCTAAGAAGGTGTTGAATGATGTGTGATTTCAGTGAATCAATATATTTGTAGAGCTTTATTTGGGGATTTTGAACTTTAATGACTAGTCTTTTTAAAACAGAATATGTTTGAATTTTCTTGTCCATAAGTATTTGGCAAAGTATTTTGCAGATTTATTTCCAGATGCCCACACAGGACTTGTTTCAAACAGTGAACTGAAACCTTGACTTTCCTTTTATAGATTACAGAGTTTAGTCAACTGTTTTTTAAGGAGTCAAATAATTGCAAAATTTGTAAGGTTAAGATTGATCAAAAAGGAAAGAAAGAAATGGTATAGTGGAACTTTTTTGCTAAAACATTTTGCCATTAGGATAGGTATTAAAGGCTTTAGAAAGTCCGTAGAGGTATGGCATGCCTGTGAATTTGGTCTGAGCCTAATAATTCAATGGTGCATCCACCAGTTGTCTTGAATATGAACACTACATTTTTTTTTCATATATAGGAGCCCAGAGTTTTCTCCTGTTAAGTCATATGTACTGATACTTGTACTGGGAACCACAGGTGGAACATGAGGTATGCACTGCATGAATGAGGCTTAGATCAATACAAGTACTGAGTGTTAGTGGTTCTGCATGTGAAAAAGAGCACTGAGGAGTTTTGCTGAGGCTGTGGGTTTTGTTGGCATTGTCTGCCACTTTGCAAATAGCTGTGTTCACCATCAGAGACTGGAACCCAAGAGCAGTGGGTACAGAACACCAAGCCACTGATAACTGAGCCACATTCAATGCAGTCACTTGGCAGAGCAAGCAGGATGAAGCTCTCAATTTCTTTTATTTCCTGGCAATTTAATGTGCTCCATTACACAGTGCCTGCTTTAAGAATTACAGGGCAAATACACACAGTTTTTATTCCGCTACTAAATATTCAGAAAAAACATTCTAATTATATTTGGCACTGAGCCCCAAAATACTGCCTTCAAACCAAGTCTTCCAAATGGAAGCAATATGTGTGCTGCAGACTCATTCTGTAACACCCAGTGCTGCCTCTACAGTGTGCCCAGGGTAGCAGCTGCTTACACTGAACAGCGGCTTGATTTTCTCCCCGTGAATGACAGGGGAAGTCACTGGTTAAGAAGCTGCTACTAATAACTATGGTATCTTCACTATATTAGTGGGAAAACATGATTAGTGATATTATTACTCGGTTCTGTGGCACTGAGATGTGAAACAACACCCTGTGTGACATACAAACAGGTGCATGTTTCATCTTAGAAATATGACTAGTTTAAGGTCGCTGACCTTTCCATTAATGTTTTCATTTCATTTAAAATTTGGTTATAAGCATGGTGTTAAATGCCTTGTGAGGCACAAATAACATTCACATCCCAAATCATAAATTTACATTCTGAAGTGACAGTTACACAGATAAAAATTTTGCCTGGCCATGTTGCTATAGTTGTTAGCCATTCATTTACCAACATTACAGATAACAAGTACGGAAGAGGGATAAGATAGATTCTCTCCCTGTATCTTGTTCCTTTTTTTTTTTAATCTGTCTGTAACATCTATTTTAATTTGGGTTAGGTTTCACATATGCTTGTCTTGAAATTCTGTATCCCTTAAACACTGAGATGTGCATGAGCGATGATAATAAGCAAGAAAAAGAAGGAAGAGTATTATCAGCATATTGAAAGAACCATAATTTGGAATGCTTCAATGGCTCCCTTAATAGTTCCATACAAGTACCAAAGAGAGTGGAAAACTGATAGAACCCCATGGATCTCCATTTGCCAGTGCTCTTGGCTTTGTAAAGCAATCCCTGCAGATGGTGTGGGGCAACTGTTGAACAAGAAAATAAAAAGCAATTCAGAAGGAACTCTAAGGGAGTTCTCTCTGGAGAAAAGAAATCTTGTTGCATATTTAGGAGATCTTCCCATCAGTTCTGCAGAAGTAGCTTGATTAACCATCAAAATCTCATTCCAGTATATTGTCTAAGGAAAACTACATCTTTTGCTAGGATTGCCATGCAGCAAAGGAGACTCCTTTCTGCCCACATGTGGAGTGACACCCATTCATGTTTTAAGCAATCTTCTACAGATGGACTCTGTCAAGGGTGTGGGTTCTTTTTCTTTTTTTTTTTTTTAATAGATATACCTTTGAAACACAAATCCACCATTAAAAAATCACTGGAAGAGTTATTTATGCAGACTATTCTAGAGGAAAAATGTTCAGAGTACTAGAATGGAATTCTGAAATCACTGACTTGAGTTCATGCTTTTTTTTAAAGTTGCATTCATAAATACAATTTTATAATTCAGTTGAGGAATGGATATTCCTTTAAGATTTTTCACTGTAGCAGCTTAAAAACAACTGCAGTTTTCAAATTTTCATGTGATTATGATGTGACAAAATAAGCTGATTTGGGGAAAAAGCCCAAACTATTGATTAATCGTTAGTTATGCAATTTATTTATTTGTATTATGGTTGTGATATTGATATTATTTTGGTGACTTGACATGCACAAAGGGATGCCTTGTTTAGTAATAAACATGAACAAAGATGATGTGGTAATGCATGTAGATCAGGTTTCCAGGTGGCTAATTTTAGCTGCCTTTAGTAAAGTTGATGTCAAGGTCATCTTGATTTTCCTAAGGACTTGGTAGACCTGCAAGAACTTGTTATGCTCTCCAGGCATATGGTTCTTAGTCTGAGCATCTTCCTGCAGGTGGGTACTACTACCAGCAGGAGTAAAAGGATAATTCAAGCCATTGCAAATTCAAACCTTAGCTTTCTATTCTTAGACTAGTTAAGGTCATAATTTAGTTCTTAGTGGTAGGTAATGTTTGGGTGCTTTATATAATTAAATCACAAATGTGCAACTCATTAAAATTCAGAGGAAAACATTATCAGTCCTTAAAATATATCAGTGGACATATATATATATATATATATATATATATATGGATGCAACTAAGGAGAGATACTAGGTCTTTAAGATTCTGTGCATGCATAGAATTGAAAGTAATACTACTCTGTCATGAATGGCCATACCTACTGTAAGAAAGGTGTTCTTACAGTGGAAGCCATGTTTTAGTATTGGAACAGATAAGGCAGGATTTGAGAAGGTTTTCTAGGAGTTAGACCTCTTTTCTGTTAAACTCACCTTCTCTTTGGGACTTCCTTTGTAGTGATAACAAAGGATGTGAAGAAATATTAGTTGTTGTGGAGCAAATTAAAATGGGTTTAGGCCTTCGAGGGGAAAACCCCAGTGTCTGTAAGTGTTCAGGATGGTGGTTTGTCCTTGCTGGAGGAAGGACTGTTATGTCAGTGAAGGTCTTCAAATGCATACCCTCTGCAACCACAACAAAATGTTGGAGAAATGCCTTTCCATGAAAAGCCTACTCAGCAGAGTAGTGCTGGCTATTAGGAAGACTGCTGTCATAGTTCAGTCTTTCAATATTGCCTGGTAACTTGATTGCTTTTACATTAGCTTAATTAAGAAATCATTGAGGTATGTGTAGGATACCTTCTACTCCTGAAAAACAGAATGTCAAATTTATTTGAATACTGCTGAGAAGATGCTCCCCTGGCTGTGAATCAGGTCATGTGTGGGGAAGTCTACAGCTGTTGTCTGATCTGTTCCACCCTCAGTATTTTTAGGGCTGGTTCAGTGGTGTGAACAGCAGCACAGCCCATACCTGCTGCTGTTAATGGCTTTTGCAGGAGGCAGCAATAGTGTGAATTTGAGGTGATTCCTGCCAATTTCCCTGCTGCCCACAGGATTGCGTGGAGCAGCAGGGAACTGACAGGAGGCTTGTTCACTGCACTCGGCTGCTGCTTGGCAAAGCCATTAGCAGCAGCAGATACCCTGGAGCTCTCTCTGTGCAGACACAAGACAACATTGCATTGCTTTACGTTCAGTTATATTTGGATGATAATCTTTGCAACCGTGAGAAGTAAAAGCATATTTTTCCAAATAAAATCTTCAGGTTTTAAATATGTAGCTGCCTCAGGGTTTTCCTTTCCATCTTCTCCTATGTGTTTGTCAGTTAAGAATCTTCCTTATTCTAGATGGAATGGGTTTGTAAGCTGCTGGTGAAAGGATACGTTCCTTTAGGATGTTTGATCTGCACTCCTGCTTACTAAGGGGGAAGGGGTATTTTCAGCTTGGCAAAAGGCTTTTCCCTTTTTGTTACAGATGCTGTGTAGCTTTTGAAATGGTTTTCAGTGTGCATGATGATTTATAAGCATTCAATCATTTTATAGCCATGCATATTTTGGAATCATGAAATTATTATCAGAATAAAAGACCTCTGCTGAATTAGGTGGCTTTTGTTGCTTTGGTTGCTAAGTACACACTGATCCTGTCCTCTGTAGTCCAAGTGTGTTTCATGTTCTAATCTCAAAGCACTTGTGTTGCTTTCTAGTTTTGGTTTTTTGTGACAATTATGACCTTCTTGATGAAGGTTTCATTACAGGTTTATTTAGCTTAGAGTGGCTGGCTGGTGCGTTCCTGCCTGTTCATGAATGTCATTTCCATATGGTTAGAAATGTCATAGCAAAATTAAAAAAACATGGTCTCGGATTTCTAAGAAATAGCTTAATGTTTGTGCAGTGCAGGAGACAGAACTCAGAAGGGATAGTACAGAGCAAGAAGCAGAGGGTCAGCCTGGGGAATTATAACACAGAGGAGCCTTGTCCAGCATACTCACAAATCTACAGTAAGAATGTAGTAAATGTTGTTGAGGAATAAATTGGAAGGCAGCTTTGACCTCTGAGTAAATGTAGCAAAGAAACTTTGTTTTAAAGGAATAAAATGTCTAGGAAGATATTGTAAAAGGATTAATGAAAAAGCCACCATTTCTGTATTGCCTACTTAATTATTAAGCATTTTTGTTTGTTTCTGGTTCAGGAATGTTCAAGAACATACCAATGTAACAGTACTGACTTTAGTAGCATTTGGCTTAGAGCTTGAAATTACACCAAGGGTACATTAGGAATAGGGTTTTTTGTTTAGCTGATCTCAAAATGCAAAATAGTACATTATTTAGCATTTTTACTAAGATATGAAATCATAACCCTAAAAGCTAAATCCCTGTACTTTTTATAGATACTGTAAGCATAATGTAGAAACATCTTGCCCAGAGTTCTCAAAAGTAAAATTAATATGTAATAATTGTCCTTGTGATTAAGCTGCATATTTACAGAAATATCCTTGAATTTAAATGGTATTGTTAAGGAAAGAGACCATTTAATCTATTGGTACCATTAGTGTTTTCACTGGACAATGAACTTAATTTTGAAATTAATCTGAAATAGAAGTGAAATTTTGTCTTATTGTAAGGCCTAATATTAACAATCTCAAAATCCTTGCAATATTTTAAACTTTCTATGGAAAAACATCCATATTGCAAAATAAAGGTATCAGTATATATTCAGCAACACAGAAATAAAATCCTCATTTTTCCTCATTCTTCTTGAACAGGCTTCTGAGAATCAAGGGTATTGCTAGGATAGAGCTATGGTATCAAAAGCTTCTTGGTCTTTTTAATAACCTTTAAAAAAACCCAATTGTATCTTCTTTTTGTTTTTATTTGATATGTTGGCAATAGGTATATAAAAACTTGTCCGATCTTTTAAAATAGCGCTTTAAACCAACCTCGGAATGAAGAGGCGCTTACCACAGAGCCGAGTCCCAAGTAAGCGAGGTCCTCACCGCAGGGTCCCGCAGGTCCGGGCAGGGGAGAGGCATAAACCCAAGGGCTTCTTCCATTTTCTGTAGGAAGCAGGGAAGCCTGTCAGCAAATGCTTATGTAGTCACTGCTGCCAGCTTATAGTAATGAATTAAACGCAAGAAAAATAATTTAAAAAAAAAAAAAAGTATACTGGAGAGCGAAATCTGTGCGAGGCCACAGGCTCGGGTCGAGCCGCTGTCCCCCCGTGCCATCCCCGGGGCTGGAGCCGCAGGGTCGCAGCGCAGCGAGGTCCAGGACGGAACAGCGCCTGGTTCCCACGGTTTTCCAAGGAGCGAGCGGCCGCTGTGGGCGGCGCTGCGGGCGGGGAGCGGGAAGGGTTAAAGCCGATCCCCGCGGGGGTTAAACCGGAGCCTAATGGAATAATGACGGGTAGCACCATCTGCTGGCCTAGTTCCGCGGGGAGCGGGTCTAACCAGCGCTAATATTGGCGCTGATGCCGTTTGATGCTTTGTGCGTTTCTTTCCGCGCTTTGTTGGGATCCTCTGTCCGCGCACGGCGGGGCCGGGCCCGGCCCGGGGGCGGCGGGAGCGCGCCGGGCAGGGCGCGGGGATGCTCCGGGAGCCGCTCTGTGCTCGGGGAGCGCCGTGCACGGCCCGGCTGCCGCTCGCTAAATAGGCCATTTAGCAATCTTCTCCCCATGCTTTCCTCCTGAGCACTGCCTGGGGTGCTGCAAAAGCGGAGGGCAAGTCTTTGTCTGACGCCAAAAATGTCTTCAGTGAAGAGGCCAAGAGGAAGGGTAAGTGAGAGCCTGAATGAGTGGGAGGAGGAGGGGTTCTTTGGGCTAAAAGGCTAATGGGATTGAATAACCTTCCTTATTACTGGCTGCTGCTGCGGGAGCCGCATCGCCATCTTGAGCTGTTCCCGTGCTGGGTCCGGCTGTTTGTTCCAGCCCCGGGGCTTTAAGGTGGCATCGGGAGCGGCCCCATCCCTGCCTCCCGCCCCCGCCGCCCATGAGGCACCTCTAGAACATGTATCCCGGGAAGTGCGCGGGGTTGGCCCAGAAAATGTGTGTGGAAATTCCTGGTGGCTTTTCTTCCTGCTGTAGGCAGAGGCGCATTTACGGGTGAGAACGTAACATAACTGTTATCTGCTGGGTTTTTGTGTTTGAATAGGAAATTCTTTCCATTCCTCAAAGGGGGAGGGGAGGAAAGCAAAAACATGTCTCCTGGCTGGCTGCAGGAGAGGCTCATCAGCCCAGTAAACAATTCTGCGTCCATGAAACGGGCATTAAAAACCCGAAAGATAAAAACAAGTTACGTTTTTTAACCGAGGCGCTGAGCGTATGTGGATCTAAATAAAAGAAACGCTGCTGTCTGATCGTTTTACGGATACAGAGCTGTGTCATTTTAGTTTTGGTTTTATCTTTTGTCTGTTTTTTTTAATCTTGGTGTTGTTCAAGCGTCTGTTGTGTTTATCACCGAGTCAGTCCTGTAGATCATTCGTCTGCTTTAAGGTAACTGTGGTCCTGGTATCCTACTAAAGACTGATGTTGTTACCTTCGAGAGCTCGTTGCTTTTCCATATTCTGCTGGAGATGTTGGATGTGTGTGTCAAATATATGGGAATGCTGGAAAGGTTAAGGGTTTAACTACAGATATGGAGAGAAGGCTGAGAGAATTTTAGAAGGACATTTTTTGCTGACTTTCAGTGCGTAGATTGGTTGTTTAAAACCCACAATTGATGTAGTTACTCTGAAACCCACGCCATTCTGTGGTATAAAGTGAATTCCTCCTTTTTTGTGTCTGCATGAGTCCCTGACAGCTACATTTTTTAAAAATGCATATCTGTATAAAAAATGCCTGCACTTTTCCTTTATATGTTTAAAATAAGGGGATTTTATTTACTTTTTCTCTCTTGCTTCAGCCTCCTTCCTCCAAGAAGACTGATGGTTCAGGATCATATACTAAGATGCAGAATACCCAGGTGAGGGCAATGTCTGAAAAGAAGCAGAAGAAAAAAACAGACTTGGAAAGTAAACAAGAGAAGGCAAATCGTATAATATCTGAAGCAATTGCAAAAGCAAAAGAAAGAGGAGAGAGAAACATTCCACGAGTAATGAGCCCTGAAAATTTCCCCAGTGTTTCAGCTGAAGCAAAAGATGAAAAGAAGGGCAGAAAAGTTAAATCCAAACCAAAGGACAAGGAGAGCAAAAAGCCGAAAACTGGTTCCTCATCCAAAATTAAAGAGAAAACAAAAATTGGGTAAGTAGATTAAAATGTCTGTCTTCTCTTCAGATCTAAATCCTTGATTAAAATGAAAAGTGCTTACTGATAATAAAATGTTCGCCTCCACTGCCTACACAGAATTTTTCCTGATTAAGTCCATGTGTGGACTCTCTCATTCAGGAACAAGAATGCTCTGTTTTCTCTTTAGATAAAATCAATGTAGGACTGTCCTTGTGAAAGGAATTACTTTAAATTCATAATCTAAAATATTCTGTACTCACTTTGAACCATAGACCCAAGTATCTTTCATCTAGTGTTGTAATCAGTTCTGACTCCAAATTAAGTTTCTTTATATTATAAATGCTGTCTTTATCAGTTTTGGCATGTAGCCTCAATACAGTGTGCATGGGGAGAAACTGGAAGCCTAATGAACTTCCAAGAAAGAGAATATTACAGATATCACATGTATCAAAAATAAAGCACATATTGGAAAAATTATATTCTAAGCACTCTATAGTCTTCAGTCATATCAGTTTAATTTGCCCTCTCAAAAACTTTGCAGACTCAGCTGGGTCAAGCTGTGTGGATACCTTGGGGTAAGGAGCTTTCAGAGGACATTAGGTGTTAAGGCTCCAAGGGATTCAGTAGATGACATGTCCTCTGACTCCACAGCTAACCTATGTCACCTGTACACTTTTAAAGGAAAGTATTTGATTTCCCATGTTAAGTATGTCAGTTGGAACTGGAAATGAAAATCATAGCTACAGTCTGATTTTTTTTTTTTTTTTACATTGATGCTCTTTTTGTGGTAGCAGAAATATTAACTGGCATATCTCTCCAAATTTAAATGTCTCATATACATATGTATATTCTCATGTATGGAGCTGAAATGAATGTTCTTTTAATCAGCATATTTCTCTGCATTTTCTGCTTTTTTTCCTAGAGATCAGTACTTTTCTTACATGTTTGAAGTAAACAACATTGATTAGTTATATTGTGAAGGTTATACATACTGTACTCAAACACTACACTTGATTCTTAGTGTGAACTTTCATGGTGTTAATTCCTTTCTTTTCTGGTTCTGGGTTGGCACGTGATGCTGGTCATAAGTGCACTGGGTACTGTTTGTTGGTTTTTTTTTCTCCATCTTGTTTAAGATGGGATTTTGGATGTGTATTCCGAAATTGATTTTGCTTTCATGTTTCTGAGTTTATTCACGTTCCCTAACAAACATTTTGTGGGTCTGTCAGAAAACTTTACAGGGTCATTTAGCTGGTGGCAGTTTCATGGAGCTTTGTGATTTGTCCTTCTTATTGATTCTTTTGGATAATTCACAAAGGCTGCCAAAGTATCATCCTTATGATATACTCCATAGTTCTCATAATATTCTTACTGTTTTTAAACAAAAAATAATAGGATGTAAGCTGTTACCTCCCATTTGTAATTCTGCATTCACTTTTGTCTTCGTGAAACGCTTTGCTGTGCACATCACTTCAAATCAGTTTTCAGGATTTCTTCAGACGGTGTCAGTTGAGAAAGAGATGTTTCTCAAACCATGTTTTTAACCATGGTTATTTGTGCTTGATGCAAAGTACCTGCAAGATGCTGAGGAACTCCCATTTAATGAAGTATGGTCACTGTTATGTAATTTTGCACTGAGCTGCGAAGGTTTGCCTCCCCATTATTTACCAGTTTAATCAACTAATGCCCCAGTAGCTCTCTATTAACTTAATCATGCTGCCAGGTATTGCTTTAACTATGTAGGATGTATATCTGAAGGATTTAGCAGTCAGGTCCTGTTAAAAAGCAGTGCAGAGAGTCTTCCAGAGCCTCGTATTACAGATTTCCCGGAATTGCCTTGTATTTAGGTGGCCAGCAGCAAATCAAATGCTTTGAGGCATCCAGAGAGTGCATTTTTGTATCCAGATTCATGTGTTGAATTAGCACTGTTTTATATTATTGATATAAATACGTAAAGTAACTGTTTAGCAAAGAATATACCACTGATTTTGCAGAATAGTAGTTGCAATAAGGCCTCGATTTTTTTTAAAAGAATAGTCTTACAGGCTCTTCTTTCTGTGCAAATGTAACTACTGATCTTACAGAAGAATAATTACCATAGAATAGCTTTATTTGTCTTTACAAAGGTGGTTAAAAAAATTGTGTGATTAATAAAATTTGTTTTGTTCAGAGTAGAACAAACCTAAATAACTAAATAAGGGTTTTAGAAGGCTAAACAACTTTTATAAAGGTTTCTTCCTGACTTCTGTTCTTAAGAAAATATTTTTTAATGAACACACATCCTCAGATTTATTACTATATCAAAATAGGAATGAGTTTTTAGGCATATGGGTTTCTGCTTTGGTTTTTCTCGTTACCTTAAAAAAAAACAAGCTCTGACTGAATCTTAGGAGAAAATTTTACCATGCTAAGATAATACCTTTAAAAGACAAGTGCTTTATTGGGCAAGAAGGGGAATGTGAGAATCTCAATTCAATGAAAACAGGTGGGTTTTTTTCTTGGATTTTTTAGATCTGTTTAAAATAGGATGAAAAAAATTATATGTTTTATTTTAATCAATAAGGAGGAAAAACTTTAAAAAATAGCCAAGTTGTATATATAACATTTCTTGCATTTAAGCAGAAAATAAAACCTGAAGTCTCCTCAAATTTTAAAAACATAAGTAAACAATTTCCAACTGTTATAAGCAATTATCAGCTAATTTTTCTACAAGCAATAAAACCTTAAAGCCACTAAAGGTTTACGGTAAAAAAAGAATAAGGAAAATACACGTTTTTAGCAGTGGGCAGAATTTATTTGGGTGCATCTGCAGTCCCATTTTAGGAGGAGTTCCAGTGTGATATGTGCATCTCAGATGAATACACTTCTTTTCATTCAGTGTTTTCTGTAGCAAACATGTTCAACTTTCAGGAACTGTTAAAAAGCTGATTCAGTGTGGGGTCGGAGTGCCTGTGCGAGAGGAGGTGCAGAGTTGTGTGTTTTTGAGAAGATCTGAAGTCAGACACAGGTTTTGGGTGACTCCTGGTCAATTTGCAGGCTGATGAGGAGCTGAAAGAGCTGAAACTATAGCAAATATATTGATTTTGTTTGTTTGTTCTGGAAAACATTTGTGAAATAGTTTTAATCTTTGCTAGTGGCAAACGCAGCCTGTTTGATGTGAGCACAATTGTACCCTCTGTGGTCCAACACTTAAACAGCAAAC